ACTACTACGACTACGACTTGTGACTACGACTACGACTGCGACCACGACGACGACTACTACTACTGCTGCTGCTGCTGCTGCTACTACTACTACTACTACTACTACTACTACTACTTCTACTACTACGACTACGACTACGACTATGACGACTATGACGACTATGACGACTATGACAACTATGACGACTATGACGACTATGACGACTACGACGACTTCGACGACGACGACTACGACTACTACTACTACTACTACTACTACTACCACTACTACGATTACGACGACTACTATTACAACGACTACTATTACGACGACGACTATTACGACCACGACGACTACTACTACTGCTAGTACTGCTACTACAACTACGACTACTACTACGACGACGACAACTACTACCGCCTTACGTCGCTACTGTTAAGACATGACAGCAGCAAACGAGAAACAAATTCTATGAACCCCACCCTTACATAATCGTATCTATCCACACTAAAAAGCCTCGTTTTAGGAGCTTCAACCCTAAACCCTAAACCCTAAACCCTAGAGTTCAGAACAATTCAAGATCACCCGCCCCCTGGGCCTGGTGACGCGACTGCGCGAGGGGTCTGGACCTAGATCAAGATGATGACATCATAGTGTTGATAGTATGAATCCTGCATTACATAAAGGACGCTAATCTATGGGAACTATGGCATATTCCTTGTTATGGGTAAGGCAGGATTTATATCATCGACCGTAGGACTTGGTCGTTAAGGGCTTTTTGTGTCGCACTTTTGGTTCTATTCAAAGTGCAGTGACCTGTCCATCCAGAACCAAGCCTATAAAGTTGGAGGTAAAGTTTATTCAAGCATGTCTCCTTGTTCTTGCGATTCAGAGGCGTCGGGGTTCGGGAAAGCATACCCTAAACCGAAACTGGGTGAGACGCTTGAAGGGTTTGGGAGTGCAACAAACATTCGTCAACATGGAACAGCTTCAAAGGTGCAATTCAGGTGTATCTTTAGATGCCAAAGCGGGGGTTAGCAGGATGCACGGAACTACTGCTAAGAAACTAAGACGCATTGACTCCAAACCGTACCGGTCGAAATCCTAGACCCTAAACCTAAACCCTGAACCTGTTAAAGACCAGGGGGGACGCTTCGGGACATACAGGTTGGCGGAGCAGGAACTTAAAGCCTTACATCTAAGATTTTCGGTTTTAGGGTTTCGGGTTCAGGGCTTCGGGTTTAGGGTTTAGGGCTGTAGGCTTTCGGGTTTAGGGTTTAGGGTTTCGGGTGTCGGGTTTAGGGTTTAGGGCTTTAGGCTTTCTTCGGGTTTAGGGGTTTAGGGCTTTTTGGCTTGGAGTTAGGATTGATACAGATCCTAGTTGGAACTGCCTCACACACTCCAAGATCACGTTTGTCATGGACATACACCCCATACCCATAAATCTCCGAACCCAAGTCCCCTGTCCCTTTCACATCACTACACCAACCTGGAAACCGGAGGCTACGACGCAACCTTCTCTAGAAACCCGAAGATCCAAACGAAACTCATAAGCCGGATCCCTGAACCCTGAAGCCAAGCACTGACAAGCCGAATTTATGCCGCGCAGAGGGTTTTGGGTTTAGAGCTCAGGGGTGCTATGAGGGTTGCCATGAGGTATTTACAGACTGCAACCGCCTCAGACCTGCACCCCACCCATAAACACCACGGTTTAGGGTTTAGGGTTTAAGGTTTAGGGTTTAGGGTTTAGGGTTTAAGGTTTAAGGTTTAGAGTTTAGGTTTAGGGTTTAGGGTTTAAGGTTTAGAGTTTCGGGTTTAGGGTTTAGGGTTTAGGGTTCTGAAATGCCGACTCAGTATCAAGGAAGCTCATCACGGGCTTGTTAAGAGCTTCTGGCTTCAAGCTCTGGAACCCTTACAAACCCCCAAACCCCAAAACACCGTGCCCCTACAGCCCTGCAGCCTAATTACAACGAACTGAAGGCTCCTTAAAAAGGGCCCCAAAATACTTACCCTAAACCCTAAACCCTAAACCCTAAACCCTAAACCCCTAAACTCCTAAACCCCTAAACCCCTAAAGCAGAGCGGAGCCTGGACACCGTCGGTTTGAGCTCGCTCCACGATCTTGCCCTTCAGTGCCCGCCTCAACTCTTTGGATGGTTTAGGGTTTAGGGTTTAGGGTTTAGGGTTTAGGGTTTAGGGTTTATTGCGGCTTTGGGGCTTAGGATGCTCATGTGTCGATTTTCTCCAAGGTTCTATCAGGCGGAGACTCCACAAAGCTTTTAGGGTTTGGGCTTTGGTTAGAGGCTGAGGGTTTTTATGGCTTGTGAGAAGCCGAAACTCGGCCCTCAAAGAAACCCTAAACCCTAAACCCTAAACCCTAAACCCCTAAACCCTAAACCCTAAACCCTAAACCCTAAACCCTAGACCCCTAAACCCAACTGTTGGAACTCCATGTTCGGGATGACGGGATGAAGCGAGCTGTGCCGGTTTTTAGGGCTTCGGCCTTTGAAGAAAAGGTTTAGGCTGTAGGGTTTAGCCCTAAACCCTAAATCGTAAACCCTGCACTTTTTGAACCCTAAACCCAAGCGCCTGGGGCCAATTGCTCAAAGATGTACGCTGCAGGTCGGGCGAACGAGCGACTTCAGGGCTTTAGGGGTTTTGGGTTTAGGGGTTTAGGGGTTTCGGGTTTAGAGTTGAGAGGCTTTCGGGCTTAGGGTTTAGGGCTTTAGGGTTTAGGGCTTTAGGGGTTTAGGGGTTTAGGGGTTTAGAGGGTTCAGGGTTTCGGGTTTAAGTCCAAAGCCCATCCACGTCGTGGCGGAAGCGTTGTAGACCAGATTGTCGGATGGAATCATTTCGGTTTGACGTCGTTTAGGATTTGGGCTTGAGAAACAGCTAGCCTTCCAAATCTTGCGGAGACTTTACTGTTCAATGCAACGTTACTGGCATGACTATACAACCCCCGTAAACCCTAAACCCTAAACCCTAAACCCTAAACCCTTCCACCTCTTCAAAACACACCCACCACGCAGGAAAGGCTGAGCCGGGAACAGGAACATGTTGATATGCCTCAGTGGCATCAGCAAAGGCCCAGGGGGGCTAGGGCTGAGTTTAGGGTGTAGGGTTTAGGGTTTAGGGTTGGCTCTTCATGCACCATGGGAAGTTCGCAAACAGCCTAAATCCCAAAATCTCTCAAACCCCAAAATTCTCAACCCTGAACCCCCCAAACCAAAATCCCAAAATCTCTCAAACCCCAAACTCTCAACCCTGAACCCCCCAAACGCTGGTCGGAATGTGGCATCAGCCCTCGAGAAATTTGAATCCCCACGTCTGACAATCGAGGCAGAGTTGCATCCAGGAGTTTCCTCTTATTGTCACTCAGCGCTTCCACGATGTAACCAATACCCGTTACACCCCAAACCCTAAAACCCTACTTAACGGATCATGGGACTTAGTAAGTAGGGTTATAATAAGGTAACTATACTTATAACCCCAATTAAGGGACTTATAACCTTACTTACTAAGTCACATGATCCTCCAAGTACAACCCCAAACCCTAACACCCTAAAACCCTAAACCCTAAACCCTAACAGGGCCCGTCGGAAAAGCTTGGAACAACCCAGAAGCTCAGACAAGGAAAAAGGAAAAAGGTCACAAGCCCAGTAGAGAACCCGCATCCGAGAGAGCTTTGGGCGAAGGGTTAGGGCCTCGCAGCTATCGGTTGAAAATCCGTACATGTTGATCTTATCCCCACCTTAAACACATGGGCCACTGCTTGTGTTTAGCGTCTTCATGGCATGTTGGTGTACAATGCACTAAGTAATTTTCCAACCATAGGAAGACAGCGCTGGACATGGGCTTTTGTGTCGGGCGTGCGCGTTCGTGGTTGAGGTTGGTTCTACTGGCCTAAGCCTTAGAAACAGGAAACCCTTAAACCCTAAACGCCTTCTACCCTAAACTCTGAGCCACATGCACTGTACTGTTCAGTTCTCCGAGATAAAGGATCCCTTAGATGAGGACTCTTATTCGGGAATACCCCACCTAAACCTCAACCCTAAACCCTATAAAGCCTAATTAAACCCCAAACCCTAGACCCTAAACCCTAAACCGCAAACTCCAAACCCTAAACCCGAAACCCCAAACTGTAAATCCTAAACCCTAAACCCTAGACCCGAAACCATAGAACCGAAACCCTAAACCCTACCTTCATCCCACCCTGGAAGCCCTTTGACATGAGGTCCCAACTCGATCGGAAGCGTCTGGCCGACTGCCTGTTTAGGGTTTAGGGTTTTGGGTTTTGGGTTTAGGGTTTAGGGTTTTGGGGTTCGGGGTTTCCGGATTTGGGATTGAAGTTTCGGGTTTGGGGCCGTTGACCCTAAGGGTCCATGTGCCCAAATAGTATGTACCTGTAGCCCTGAAGTACCGAAACAGGGACTACTTCAAGGCCAAAGT